TTGCGCGAGTACTCTTCTAGTATATATAAATATACATGTATTAATGTAAATAAAGTTATATGTAATTTATATATTTGTGGATTCAATTTTCATTTATAAAAATATGAAAATAAAATTGAAAAAAGAAGTAGAAAATGGAAGATTTAGAGTTAAAAATACATCAAAGTAAGAAGTTTCGATATCATATTTGATTACACTTCTTTAATATGTTTAATTATATATAACTAAAAGTTTGTTTGGTTTTTGTGCGACATATATTTAATTATATATGATTAAGTTTGTATATCTTGCCTAAAATAATATATAATATTTGAAATTTTATTTACTTTCTTGCTTTAACCTGTACTCTATATTATATTAATGATTCATTAATTTCCGACCACTACTTTTTTCTTAAACTCTTAAAATAATACATCACTCACACATACTACATACACCAGAGAAACAACGTACCACCCTAACCCTAGATCTTCAAGTTGCTTAATTAGACTCTTCTACCCAGCCAGTACCCCCTACAATTCTCATCACCATACAAATTCAAGCCACTTTTAGATCCGCCATTGATTCGGAGGTCGGAAGGTGGGTTGTGACTAGGTGTCTGGATTTTCCTCACTGGGATTGATTTCAATGACAGCAGAATTAATGCTTCACCACCATTAATAACCATCGCATTAACGACACTAGTGTTTGAAGTAGCATGAAGATCTATTCCAGCACTGGTAGTGGTGACCATGGCGGATCTAAAAGTGGTAATGTGTAAATGATCTTCAGAATAAAAACCATATCAGCGAATATTGCTAGTGGTTTTAAAGTGATGAGACCAGCTGATTACGTAATCGGCGGTGGGAGTGGGAGTGGTAGCGGTGGCGGTAGCGGCGGAGTGATCAACTGTCAAGATTGCGGGAACCAAGCAAAGAAGGACTGTCAGCACATGAGGTGTAGAACTTGCTGCCGGAGCCGTGGATTACCGTGCAAAACCCACGTCAAGAGCACTTGGGTTCCGGCAGCCAAACGACGGGAACGCCAGCAACAGCTCGATTTGTCAACACAACCACAAAATGTCAGCAATCAGCCGCTGAGTTTGATGATGAGAAGCGGTGTTAGTGGTCTCGATCAGAATCCAAAGAGACCACGAGATGATCATCAACAGATCGCCGGCGACGGCGGAGTCGTCATACCTACAATACATCATCACAATATCACTCCTTCAGGTCAAATTTGTCTAAACAAACGAACAAATTAAAAACCATTTTTATCCAATTTGTTCTTCACTTCTTTTCTTTATCTGAGTTTAATTCATGACGTATATAGGGTTAATTCGTTTCATACATATATGCATGTGTATATGTATGCATCATGTGTGTGTTAATCATGGTGTGTAACTGTGTGGAATTTGTGTTCGATTGTTGGTCTAAATTACATGCACTAGCATGATCTCTTCATTAAGTTTATATCTATTTGTTTTCTGAAATTATTGAGCATTTTGTTGAACTAGGGTTTCATTTTCCGGCGGAGTTGAATTCTCCGGTTGTATTCCGGTGCGTTAGAGTGAGTGGAACAGACGAAACGGAGGAGCAGTTGGCATATCAGACTGCTGTTAGCGTCGGAGGACATGTTTTCAACGGAATTCTCTACGATCATGGCCCCGATGATCAGGGTCAATACAACAACCCCATCGGAGAAAGCTCCTCCGTCGCCGGTGCTCAACATGAACATGTCAATCTCGTTACGAGGGCTACCACAACCACCACCAGAATTAATCCGGCTGTCACCATTCTCGACCCATCTTCCATGTATACAACTCCTCTTTCTACTTACCTGGCCGGCGGTACGCAGTTTTTCCCACCACCAAGATCTTGAAGCTAAGATCATCAGATGCAAACTGTCATCGGAATCTTTATATTATAACCAAAGATGGAGAGAAAATCTTAATATTTTAATAACGATTTTAATTTTGAGAAAAAAATGATGTTGACTGCATATATATGGTTGAAAGTTTTGGTTTGTGTTGGGGCTCTGAGCTCGATGTTCCTTTTTGCCGCTTAATAATGTATCTCCTTTTCTTTTTCTTCCCCACCCAAATTATACGATTATATTTTTTTAACGTCGATATCCAACTAATTTTGCGAGCCGATTAATATTAGGACAACCACCTATTTTATAAGTAGCTCGGAGTCATCACATTTGAACCTTCATGACCATAAGAGAATTTTTGTTCCTCATTAGATTTGAACCCGGGATCACCTGACACTTTACACCTTTAGACTCAAGCTCAAACCAATCGACACCACCCTTATGGTTTATATATATATATATATATATATATATATATATATATATATGCACACATACACTTAAATTTTAATTTAAACGACTCGAACGTTTGCCCAACAATTAGTGGCAACTCAAACTAGATAGATAGTTACATACCCAATTATAAACATTAGAATTGATAGATACTTACCATGACCTGGTTACACTACCCCCAAAATCTGTAGATGCGACATCTCCACTCGACCTTTTCTTATGCATATGTTCGACAAATTTCACAACGGTCGGTGGCACGTCCTTTTTTGCTTGTATCTACAAAGGTCTGATAATACGAACATGTGTTAATTATAACATATTAAATATCAAGCTACTAAAGTAATGAGTTTTACGTCCTACCAGACGAGCCCCACGCTCCGAAAACGAGATCAATCCACCGGTGTGTAGCGCAACTTAGCTATCACGGTTCTCACGCGCCAAACCGGAAACAACCCTTCAATTGTTATTCTTCTAACAATCGACCATCTGACTCTACACATCTGAAGATATTCAGCTGGGAGAGAAGTTTTTCAACACACTCATATCCCGATGTGCATCAGTTTCATTATATTGAGGATATTCATTCCTCTTTACTTTTTCAGCAGCTTTCTACACATTGAGATGATTACCATTTTTTTTTATTGAAGTGTTATGTTATCAAGTGACTAGTGTTGGTTCATTTGATTGAAATTAAAACAATATATAGTATCATCAATGTAATTTAATTTAATTAAAATAAGTTTCCTTAAAATATATATATTTTAAAAACTATAAAATTTGAATAAAAAAAGTATGTTATGTATTTTGTTGATAGGAAAAATGTATAGTTATTGTATAATGCAAGCGATTTAGACCGTAATTTTATTTGAATTAAAAAAAGGGATAAAATCTTTTTTGAAAAAAAGTAAACTTCAGTTTTGTTTGTTTAGGTTTAATTAGCGAAAAGTGTGAAAATTAGATGTGATATTTTATAAATCTTAAAAATCATCCTTATTTCACCGATATATCATTGATCAACAACAATGAAAAACACCGCCCACCTTCCCTTACCATATTAAGATCTGAACCAAACCATAAAATGAAAACAAATCACAGGAGTATGTGGTTTCCATTTGTTTAAAGAAATCACATGAGGGACAAATCATAAAGCTTGCAAAACCAAACCACTTGAAGAAATCACAGGGACAGCTTCTTCTCTGGCTACCATGCATCGGTGAGGATGAAGAGGGGGGATTCAAACCAAAACCTTGCCCTTGCTTCGATACGTTACCACTCTTTCCTCTGCCGGGATTCAAGACCAAGACCCAACAACAAAGTTGTCTCTATGCTCAAAAAATGAAACCAGAAACGTAAAATACAAGTTTCATACTTGAGATAAAAAATTCCAAGTGGGTTGAAAAACAGGTTTTGACAGATGATCTATGTGTGGCTTAATTTCTATTCAACTATATATGCGGGATGGGTTTTCTTAATTGTCACCCAAGATCAGGATGTAAATTGCGGGAAAACGGATAATTGTGTTTTTGTTGTTGTTGTTGTTTTCTTATGCACTGATTAGACTTGTACTCAAGCTTTATATATTTGTACATTAATTTTTCAATAAAAAAAGAAAAGAAGAAAAGGACCAAAAAAAAATTAAAGAAAAATAAAAGAAACTAGTAAAAAGACCAAAATATCCCTCACTTTAACTGACATTATTAATGGAGTTGGTAACCAATGACCATTTTCAAAGCAAAACGTAAACCACAAAGATAATTTCTAAACTTATCAAAATTTAGGTCCGACTTTTAGAATTTCGGCTAAACCTCAAGAACCAAAATTGGAGTCTACTCTAAAAAAGAAGAAGAGGAAATTACAGATTTCGTCACATGGTTATATTAAAATATGACTTGAGTCCCCAAGACAAATTAATTATGGTTTCTATTTTGTTGTGGATTGGATCCTTCAATCTAACTCTATTTTAAATACGTTGACTCAAGAATATTTTGATTATTTTACTCTTTTATCACATTCTTTTACAAAATAAAATAATATCATTATACATTAAATTTTATATATATATATATATATATATATATATATATACTAGAAGCATACTCGCACAATGCAGCGAGATACATCGTGTTTTTAATATTTCATTTTATTCTTTATCTCAGTCGATGTTATAATATGGCTTTATGTGATT